ATTGGAGAGAAGGACCGCTCCACGCAATTCCAAGCGGGGCAGACTCACTGTTTGGAGGGGTGCGACTTTACTTTTTGCTACAAGCAAATGAGATGATGCCAAGTTTTCACAGTGTTCCACTCGGAGATAAACGCATGCGCAGAATGCTTTTTCGGATGCGTCTGAGAATTCATGGAGCTGAATGGTTTTATTAGGGGAAAACTGAACCCATCGCGGTATCCGTATTTCGCTGATGGCTATGAGGTTTTCTCGAAATGAAGTCCACTTGCGAAGCGCTCCGGGTTTGACGTTCTCGTCCCAATCGGTACCTTCCATCCAGAGTTGTTGGAGTAAGATTTTCGCCTGGATCATCATTGGCGATAGCCACCCTGCCGGGTCGAAAAGTTTCGCCACGGAGGACAAAATCTGTCTTTTATTGGCTGTTGTGGAGTCTGGCAGGGGGTCAATAGAGTATGAGAATTCATCGNCGCTTGACGTTCTCGTCCCAATCGGTACCTTCCATCCAGAGCTGTTGGAGTAAGATTTTCGCCTGGATCATCATTGGCGATAGCCACCCAGCCGGGTCGAAAAGTTTCGCCACGGAGGACAAAATCTGTCTTTTAGTGGCTGCTGTGGAGTCTGGCAGGGGGTCAATAGAGTATGAGAATTCATCGTTGAGTGCATTCCATGTTACGCCGAGAGTTTTTGTTGAACTGGAATCATGGAATTCAAGAAAGTTTGTTTCTAAGAGGTCTGGTTTAGGTATATTTTTGAGTAGATATTTGTGGTTCGCAGTCATTTTTTTTAATGGAAAACCTGCTGATTTTAACGCATCAGTTACCTGGGTCATTGACGTAAGTGCTGATTCGAGGTCGTAACCCCCAGAGAGTATATCATCAACGTATGTTTCATTTAACAGTATTTCTGTGGCTTTTGGGTATTTGCCGCTTGAGTCTTTAGCTACTTGGTGAAGCGTTCTTATCGCGAGGTATGGCGCGCAATTGACACCAAAGGTAACGGTTTTTAATTTAAAATCTTGTACCGAAATTTGAGGGGTTCTGCGGAAAAGTATCCTTTGGAATTCTTTATCCTCTGGGTGAATGTATATCTGGCGGTACATTTTCTCAATGTCGCCATTGAAAACGTATTTGTACAAACGCCATTTGAGTAGAACGAGCATAAGATCATTTTGGAGTATTGGACCTGTGTGGAGGATGTCATTAAGAGAGATACCTGAATGCGAAAGTTTCGACGCGTTGAAAACTACTCGCACCTTGGTAGNCTTTGAGGGAATTCTTTATCCTCTGGGTGAATGTATATCTGGCGGTAAATTTTCTCAATGTCGCCATTGAAAACGTATTTGTACAAACGCCATTTGAGTAGAACGAGCATAAGATCATTTTGGAGAATTGGGCCTGTGTGGAGGATGGCATTAAGAGAGATACTTGAATGCGAAAGTTTCGACGCGTTGAAAACTACTCGCACCATGGTAGTTTTACTATGTGGTTTAATTCCTGCGTGGTGGGGTAGGTACTATGAAAAATATTTGCCTTCACGTATTGTTTCTCGGGACGATGTGGGTTCCATGTGACCCAATGAGAGGTATTCTTCCAGGACCTTCGAGTATGTTTGTTGCAGTTCCGCCTTCTTTTCATGCGATCTCTCGATACTGAGATATTGTTGTTGTGCTGCAGGCTTGNTTCACGTATTATTTCTCGGGACGAAGTGGGTTCCATGTGACCCAATGTGAGGTGTTCTTCCAGGACCTTCGAGTATGTTTGTTGCAGTTCCGGCTTCTTTTCATGCGATCTCTCGATACTGAGATATTGTAGTTGTGCTGCAGGCTTGGAGTGTCCGTGTGCAATCGTGTCCGGGAAAGTAGTTTTAAACAGAAGTTTTACCACGTAACGACCGTCATCTCTGCGAGTTGTGGACTTTTGATAGAGATCTTCACAAAATACATCATCGTCAGTGAGGGATGGGGTTGCTGGTACTTCCTCCTGATCCCAGAACTTCTTGAGCAGATCATTGAGAGAGTTTGTTGTGCTTTCAACTACCTGGGTTGAGAATGATGATACTTGCTCCGTCAGTGGGCCGCTCAAAATCCACCCAAATATTGAGTTTTGGGCTATCAAACTTCCACCGACATTGGTTTTTAGGCCTGGGAGTAACACTTGGGGAATGACATCGCTTCCTAATACCATGTCTATTCGAGCTGGAGTAAAACAGTGGGGGTCTGCTAGGGGGAGGGATGAGTATTCTTGCAGTTCAATATATGTAACTTTGAACGATGGCAAGAAATGAGTAAGTTGCGGNGCATCATCGTCGGTGAGTGATGGGGTTGCTGGTACTTCCTCCTGTTCCCAGAACTTCTTGAGCAGATAATTGAGAGAGTTTGTTGTGCTTTCAACTACCTGGGTCGAGAATGATGATACTTGCTCCGCCACTGTGCTGCTCAAAATCCACCCAAATATTGAGTTTTGGGCTATCAAACTTCCGCCGACATTGGTTTTTAGGCCTGGGAGTAACACTTGGGGAATGACATCGCTTCCTAATACCATGTCTATTCGAGCTGGAGTAAAACAGTGGGGGTCTGCTAGGGGGAGGGATGAGTATTCTTGCAGTTCAATATATGTAACTTTGAACGATGGCAAGAAATGAGTAAGTTGCGGGAGTATTATCGCGTTTGTCGTTATTTTCATAGTTGAATCAGCAGAACAAATGGTAATCGGGCAGATTCTGTTCGCATTTTGCAGTACGCGGCCACCCATTCCCATAATTTCATAACTAGTCGCTTATGTCGTGAGGCCAAGCAGGTTTTGTATGCGAGACGCTATGAATGTTTTCTGAGATCCTTGATCTACAAGAGCTCGAATTTTGAAAATTTCTCCATTATGCAGGATTGAGATTTTTGCGGTAGGAAGTAGGGTTTTTTCTCTACTACTCGCAAAATGTGAGAGAGTTTGTTGAGCTGCCTTTGAGGTTGATGCTTCGTTTGGGTTGCTATTCCCTGGAGATGGGACTCGTGCCTGATTTGTTTTAGACCTGGTGCCTGTATTTGCTGTTGGTGATCTAGCGGGGTAATGGAGAAGAGAGTGATGCCGTTTTTGGCAATAAACGCAGGTAAACTTGCTGTGGCACTCAATTTCTGAGTGAGAGCAGGCCAAACAGTTTTTACAATAGTTGTTGTCTCTTATGAACTTATTGACTTATTGCGTTCCAGAACTGAGAGCTCCTTGAATTTGACACAGTTCATCAGAGAGTGATTTTAGTTGCATAATTTGCAAGATACCTGTTTTTTAACCCAGTGTTAAATGAGTGAGTTCTGTTTTTATAGCCGAAGGAATGAGTATGATTAGGTGTTGATGAGCGTGGGGTATAATTTGGAGCTGGGGCCTTGGGTTTATTTGGCCTGTACGTACTAAGTCTCTCTACGATTTCATAACGGGTTGTCAGAAATTTATTCATTTCTGACCAGAGGGGTAACTCTTTTCTAGAGTCGAGTGACTGTTCCCATAACGCTAGGGTTTCATCTGGGAGTTTTGAGGAGCAGAGATGTATTAATATGGGGTCCCAGTTTTCTGTGGGTACGCCATTTGATTTCAAAGTCGAGAGGCAATTGTTTATTGTTGTCTGAATTGCCTGAATTTTTTCCCCATTTTCGCTTTGAATGGGCTGAATATTAAAGAGGGTTTTGAGTTGGTTGTCGACAAGGAGTCTGCGATTTTCATAACGGGATTTTAATGCATCCCATGCGAGCTCAAAGTTTTGGTCATTCATCTCATAGTTTTTTATTAAAAGTGCTGCTTTACCTCGGGTTTTTAGCTTTAAGTAGTACAGTTTTTGGGCTTGAGAGAGTTGGGGGTGTTGTTTGTAAACTGCTGTGAACATGTCCCTGAAGGGCGGCCAATCTTCTTAGCCGCCATAAAAGAAATCAGTGTCACAAGCAGGTACTTTTAAGTAGTTTTGAGTTAGGGGTGGGGCTGGGGCTGCTGAAATGGTGGTTGCGCTTGCGCCTATCGCGTTTTGTTGAAGTCTGGGGAGCAGTTGGTTTATTCGGGTCCTAGTATTGTGGCACATATCGATGGCTGCGTCATATTTCGTTTCGTATGCTTTCCTATACTTTTCGTCACTGCAACACATGTGTACAAGCTCGTATGCCTGTTCAACCCATGCTAGGTGTTTGGTGAGTTCCTCCACATAAAGCTTGAGACCGGCTTCCGAGTGATCCGTTTCGTTTATCTTCCACCATTTCGCACAATATTTTTCCAGCTTTGAGATTTCGAAGAGGAATTTTTTTTGAGTTTGGGTCAATTCCTCNTCTGGGGCTGCTGAAATGGTGGTGGCGCTTGCGCCTATCGCGTTTTGTTGAAGTCTGGGGAGCAGTTGTTTTATTCGAGTCCTAGTATTGTGGCACATATCGTTGGCTGCGTCATATTTCGTTTCGTATGCTTTCCTATACCTTTCGTCACTGCAACACATGTGTACAAGCTCGTATGCCTGTTCAACCCATGCTAGGTGTTTGGTGAGTTCCTCCACATAAAGCTTGAGACCGGCTTCCGAGTGATCCGTTTCGTTTATCTTCCACCATTTCGCACAATATTTTTCCAGCTTTGAGATTTCGAAGAGGAATTTTTTTTGAGTTTGGGTCAATTCCTCATCGTCCGTTTGAGATTTTGACCGTGTCTTTACTCCCTGAGGAGGTGCCTGGAGGGATGTGAGTTTTTCCTGTTTTTCTTACGTCATTATTTAATTTTTTGGGGAACGAAGTTTATAGGAGAAATTGAGGTAGCTTTGCTGCTATAAATCGATTTTATTAAATCAGTTATTTAATTAAACTGAGTGAGATTGAGTTTTCGAGATTTTTTTTCTCAAGTTTATCTTTATTGGGACTTTTCGTAAAATTTATTGGGAGCTGGAGGTTATTTAAGATGATTAACTCAAATTTAGTACTTGGGATATGCTTAATAAATTTTATTTTGCTTTAAACACATGCGCAAAAGCAATGAAATATATGCGTAAAGATGTGTGCGCGTGTTTGTATGAGTATGTGTTTGAAATGAGTTGCTATGTATTTTCATGCATATATCAGCCACTTGCTGTAGTTTGGCGCTTACATATTAAGGGCTAGGTATGTATGTGCGAGTATGTAGTATACTTAGCGCCTAAATGCTGGTACATGCGTACATACGCAAGATAATTTGAGTGACCCAAGAAATATTATTTGGAAATAAAATCTAGAATGCTAAAAACCAAAGAGCAAGGGAATATGTGTTTGGGGGTTCTCTACTGATTATTATTAGGTATGTATGTTTGGATGCATCAACATAGATTCGCTCTATGAGAACCGCTGTAGTTTGGCGCGATTGCGTACGTATGTATTTATGTATACAGCGCAGTATTAGTACATATGTATATAGGTAAATACCCTGACTGACGAAATATTATTCAAACTGAGTTGGCGTTGCGAAACGGGAATTTTTTCTTTGGTACATGTACCCAGGCGGAAATTTTGGACGTTCACTTGAACAATAGTTTCGTTCACTGAATTTAATACATAATCATGCATGTATTGTGAGTTGGGGGTAAATTATTTGAATATGTGATGGATTATATATGTTGTATATTACTGTGTCTTAAGTTTAGCGGATTTTTTCTTCGAGTTGGAGAAAACGGGATATATGTATTTGAATATATATCTACATATATATGTAGATATACAATATATTTATAATATACTGTGTTTAAAGAGTGTACGGTATTTGTCTACGGTAAATGAAAAAGGGGAAGTTCAGTTCACCGTATTTTTTACGTAAATCCGCTAAACTTTGCAAAAATATGNGGGAAGTTCAGTTCACCGTATTTTTTACGTAAATCCGCTAAACTTTGCAAAAATATGCGTATATGTAAGTATGTATGTTTGA